TTGAACAAGAGGACTTACTAAACACGGGTCTAGCAGTTTCCCAACCGCCTCGTCTGCATCCTCGGCAGCTACGAGTCCACGATAATACACGGCGAGGCCGAAGAAAACTAACGCCACTGCTCTCATTGTCAGTGTTACCAGTTGATGCTGGCGAGTGTCTCTGAAAGATGATTTCAAATCCTCGGTTAGCGGTCCCAACAAACGCGTCACTCGGAAGAGCTTAGACCTCGCTTATTATACGAGTGGTTATTTCAAGGGCGTACACTTGAAAATACAAATGAAGTATAAGGCGGAAGGAGAGAAGGTGGTTTTTTGCCCCCCCCCCTCCACCCCCGCAATTCTTAAATAAATTACATATAGAAATATTTTTAAAATCTTAACATTTCAAAAAGATTCAAATGGCACTTGTTTGCTTTGAAATAATTGATTTTTCCCTTAGAAACTAAAGTCAAAATCAATTTCCCTTGAAGAAACTAATAGGTTCTTCTTTGATAGAAGAATTACTTCGGTTCAAGGGATATTAATAAGGTCATCCATAATAAACCTAGCGATGACTGCCAACCTGTTGATCCATTTGCCCTTGGGTTGGTCAGTGGAATTAATTGACATACATGGGAGTAAGGGGATGGTTGGTAAAATAATAATAATTGAATAAAGTTCACTTTCCTCAAACTTAAATTCAATAGTCATAAACTTGCAGGCCTCTGAACACATCCAAGCGTTTTAAGGACATGAATAATTAAAAATTTAAAAAAAACAACATGAGAACCCTCACACTTAAGAAAGGTCCATTTTTTTTCTTTAGTGGTTGTATTTTCTTGATTTCTTTGTTAAATTAAGCATACAATCCCCAATTATTTCCCATATACCATTTCAGACCTGGGATTTGAACAAGTAGGTCAACTGCCTAAAACTACCCAAGCCCCTACAAAATTCTTTCAAATTCTCTCTTTCAAATCTAACTGCAATGTACGCATTGATTAATCGGGGCACACATCACAGCCATTTGCGTTGTACGCATTGGTTTATTGGGATGTATTGGTTAATAAGGACGCACATCACAGCCATTTGCGATGTACGCATTGGTTAATTAGGGCACACATCACAGCCATTTGCGATGTACGCATTGTTTAATTAGGGCACACATCACAGCCATTTGCGATGTACGCATTGGTTAATTGGGACACTTATCACAATCATTTGACGTGTACTTATTGGTTAATTGGGTGACATACCACAGCCATTTGCGCTGTACGCATTGATTAATCGGGGCACACATCACAACTATTGCAATGGACGCACTTTGGTGAATTGGGGCACATATCACATCCCTCTGCGATTTACGCATTGTTTATTGAGGCACATATCCATCTATCTGCCATATACCCATTGGTTAATATCGCTCGTGTCGCATCTAACTCCGATGTAGGCGTTGAGAGTTATTTTGGGGCACCAATCCCATCTATTAATGGCGTACGCATTTGATCATTGGTGCGCATATTATTCAATATATTTGCTATGTACGCACTGGTTACTTGTAGCACATGTAAACACTTGGGCACATGCTTCTTCTCCCCGGTGACCCCCCTCCCCCCCTCCAAATCCGCCGTGCGTCGCTAGAATGATTGTTTATGATTGTATGTGCAACAGCTATAACATTCCACAAAACATGGGGGTTGGGTATTTTGTTTAATATTTAAAATATTATTGCTTTGTTTCACAAGCTGTTTCCGTATTTTAAACACAATCCGCGACAATGATGTTGTTGGTTTTTTTTTTTAAATGCAAATTTATGCTTTCCTTTGTGTGCCCATTATCAATGTTGTTCATAGCTGACTCGTTAGGATCCCAGTGAGACTTGTCTACTAAATGACTGAACGCGCTCTACGATGTAGTAGAACACAAAAATGCGTCCAAAAAGAAATGGCGAAATGTTGGAAGCACAGCTGCAAAGGTATTTAAATTATTATAAACTTTTCAAAATATTCCAATTTGAGCCAGCAGCCCTATTTACGTTTTTTTTTCTTATACGAGCTATATAAATATAATTTCAAACTGTATGCGCTCTTGCACCATTCATGCGATTGCGAAAAAACTTTGACGAGTTGTTTTCTATAAACATACCCATTTTACTCATTCATTACAACACTTTTAAAATATTCCGTTTTCGGCCGTTGACCCAAATTCATATTTTTTATTATATGAGCTTACAAGTGGTTTACAAGTGGTTGGGACATGAGAATATTAATATAGTTCATGGGCGTGAAATAAAAAGTGTGCAGTGACGTATTATGGGGGAAGGGGTGTAGCAAATATTGGGATTCTTTTAAATGTGCGTTACTTGAGTTCAAGTTTTGTCAAGTAACTTTACTAGATGGGAAGTTCACGCATTGCTGCCGGCAATGTTTGGCGGGTATTATATATAGTATATAAATAGTCGCTGGAAAAAATAAATTACTTTGTGAAGGTTTGACCCATTTCTTGATTTTCAAATGAGCTGTAATAAAGAACACTAAATTCATTAGCGCCCCCATAATGGCTAAGCCTGTCAAACGTCTACAATTTCGGAGGACCGCTTTTTCATGGCTTTTTCATGGCTTTTTCATGGCTTTTTCATGGCTTTTTCATGGCTTTTTCATGGCTTTTTCTTTCGGTTTTTTTAAGCATGTTTTTTTTGTTTTTTTTTATTATGTTTTTTTCTTTTATCAATGCATACACGTGTTTTGTTTCAACGTGGCTGATCGCGGCCCAGCCGCAGAAACCATGCTAACAAACACGCCAGCTTTGTATCTTCGACTTCGTGTCAGTATGCCCCCCCCCCACACACACACAAGTGAAGATGGGTTCTTGAATGTTGCAATAAGAAAAAAAAATTCCAAATATTACTAGGCAAGCAATAGGATGGCAACACCCCCTGGTGGGAAACCCCCCCCCCCCCCCGGTTTAAAAGGATTGGGGAGACCCTACGACGCTCTGACTTAGATTGGTAGAGAGATGTGCACTTAAAGATAGGAAATAGTCGGAGAGAGCCAGAGAAGACGGCAAGAGAATGGAAATAGTTGGAAAGAGTCAGAGAAGACGGCAAGAGAATGGAAATAGTTGGAAAGAGTCAGAGAAGACGGCAAGAGAATGGAAATAATTGGAAAGAGTCAGAGGAGACGGCAAGAGAAAGGTAATAGTTGGAAAGAGTCAGAAAAGAAGGGCAAGAAAGAGAAAATAGTTGGAAAGAGTCAGAGAAGACGGCAAGAGTCATGCAGTACGTCCTGGAAAGATACTGTTAATGACCTATGATCCACTGGGAGCTGAAAGAAAAATGGGCAGCAGAGAAGAAGACCGGGAGATTATCACGCGATAGGCAGGTGTTAACATGTCAGAACATACACAAAGCAAATGAAAAAAATGTAGAAAAATTCATTATATGAAAATCTTTTATTTGTGATCAGACAGACAATGACGTGATCATGGTGTCATTTGTGGAGTAATGGTACCTGATGCTGACGCAGTGGACAATGAGACCGTCAACAGTAATATTAAAATATAGCTTCTTTTCTGATGTATTTTTAAATTTTTGAATCTTAATGGACATTTTAAAAAAAAAAAATGTTTATTTATTTATATGTATATTCTTATAATTTATAAAAGTTGAATCAAATGGAAATATCAAATTTCGAACAAGAACTTAAAGCATGCGGAAGAGAAACAGGAATTAATTATAATTTTGTTTCTCCATAGTTAAACATTAATTACTCCCCCCCTCCCCCCCCATTTTTTTAACTATGACGTCACTGCATTCAAAGTATGCTATGACGTAACGTTGTGACGTAATGTCATGGTATGAAAATTAATTATATTTAAATGAAATGTGCCATACTGATTTAAAGGTGGAGCCACAACGTTACCCATTACGGATCACCTGGACAGCCCCCGTAAGAAGACGCCCAAAGAATTTAAACCCCGATAGCGGCCCCAAACGGAGTTAAATAAAGGCAACTCAAAATTACCCGGGCTTGCTTCATCCGCGTGAGTTTAACATTTACGGCGAATCTGAAAATAGCTTTGACAACATTTAACAAGCAAATTTCCCCCCCCCCCCAAGGTAATAGGACAGATAAAGTGTAAAAGGATTAGAGAACTCTTACAAGAGACAGGAAGTAAATAATTGAAAATAAAAAAGCTTTGAAAAAATTTAACAAGCAAAATTCCCCCCCCCCCCCCAAGGTAATAGGACAGATAAAGTGTAAAAGGATTAGAGAACTCTTACAAGAGACAGGAAGTAAATAATTGAAAACACATTTGATTTCACGGTATACGCGAGTAGCTTCAGTTGTTGCAGTGCGTCAGTCGTGCGCATCGTACGTCCTCCGTCCTTCCAGGAGGTCAGCTAGTCGTACGACGGGTAGTCCGGCGGCGTCGGAGGAGTTTGGCAGACGGCCTCCAGCTCCCCCCAACGGCCCTGGACGTTGGCGCAGTAGCACTGGTCACCGTTATCGAGCTCCACCACCGGGCCGAACGGTATGACTTGGCCGTTGGCGTCACAGTTACGACCTGGAAATGAAGGGAAATTTTTTTTTGCTTTTTTAAATTCATTATTATGAAATATATTTATTATATTTGCTGTATTAAAGAATTTTTTTTTGCTTGTTTATGGGGTGCGTGAATAAGTTCAAGATTACTCACCGTTTGGACAGACGGGACAACACTCGCCTGGCGGTGTGTGGCCATCCACGCACTGACCCCTCATGCATTCCGTGACGGTGCACTCGTACTTGGGCTGGGCAGTGTCACTGACGCACCGACATTTCAGGCACGGTCCTTCCTGGGGTTTGGTGAGACCCTGGGCGTGGGAGAAGAGGTGGATCGATTGGATATGATTCCATGGATAAAAGTGGGCGGTGGCTCTAGTGGTGACTTCATATGTGGATCTAGTCGGGGGGGGGGCTGTCTCGTAGTGGATCAAGCAGCCTTATAAGTGAGTGGGTCTAGTAGTGGATCTAGTGGTGGATCTATAGGCATGGATCTTGTGATGAATTTATATGTGGATCTAATCGTGAATCAAGTAGTGGATCTAGTGGTGGATCTATAGGTAGGGGTCTTGTGGTGGATTTATACGTGGATCTAGCAGTGGATAAAGTGTTGGATCAAGTAGGCAAGTAGGGAATTAATTGTTTAATGCGGTAATGGAGCTGGTATTGTGTTTAGCGGTGGACCTAAAGGTGGACATATTAGCAGTGGATCAAATTTGTGGATTTTGATATGGACACACTGTTGGATCCACTGATGAATCAAGCAGTGGCTTAGAGAGCACGTGGCATATCTAAGGATGAACCCGCTGGCCTCAGTCCTCCATCCGGGACCAAACTGTTACTAAAGCCGTTAGGTCTATACACAGCTGTAATTTGGAAGGCAAATGTATTTAGTTGTATTCTCACAAAGGCGGCGTGCATCCAACTGATATTTGCTCTCAATTCTGCTGGTCTGTCCACAAAGGGAAATGATTGCTTAAACTAAAAATGTATATTTGAGTGATCGTTCTTTGATCCCAAACCTCAGATACGGGAATGAATAATATAAAAAAGGGGGTGGGGCGGGAATATTTACACAATAATTGCTTTGAAGATATTCACTCGGCCCTTTATCACTGGGCTTTGGCTCAAAAAAAAAAAATCGTTAATTTATGATCTCTTAATAACCCCAACTTTCAATTTTTATGTGAAAGCGTGGGTTTGACATGTATGTGTTCATAGCCCAACGTGCGCGAGTTGTGTGTGAAGCAGAGGGTTCGAAATGTAAAACTTAAAGCACTCACCTGACATGCGTTAGGGGCTTCCGTCGGCGTGGTTCCACTTCCAGCGCTGGTGGCAGGTGACAGTTCATCTTGAAGCTCTGTCACCGATGATACCGCTGACATTTCTGAAGACGGCGAGCCGAGATCCGGCACGCTCGACAGTTCTTCGGCCGGCGCGTCGTTCCACCTCGACGCTATGGTCAGCTCTGCGGGTGGCGAGTCCAGAACGACCGATACTGACAGTTCTCCGGAGGGCGAGCTCACGACTGATTCCACTGACAGCTCCACGTCCCGGGCGGTCAGCCGTTTACTCTGCGGTGGTTGAGGTACGCCCTGGTCGGCCACGAACGACCGCCATCCCTTCGATGGGGGACGCTCCTGCTCGTGCCGTCCGAAACCTGTTTTCGCATCAACATCTCTCCTGTGTCCGTTATCCCTGTTGACGGAGCCCCTTCTCCATGGTTTGGCGAAGATTAAACAAAGGAAAGCAACCGCAAGGATGAACCTGAAGCACAGCTTCATTATAAAGTTGTGACTGTGCGATTGGACTGGGGACCTGGTGGCTCACGAAACACTCAAACGTACATCAGCGGAGGTTAATGAGGCGTCACCAATCTGTTGCCTGGCTAAATGAGCGTCGCGTCAACATTCGCCAACGCCACGGCAGTGGTTTTCAGTTCAGCATGCTAGAGCCCCAAGGATTTGCGTTTATAATTGGTGGGTTTTTTTAGACAACATTTGGTAGCTAAAAATTTCGTACACGAAATAACTAGTCTGTGCAGTTGAATCTTCGTGATTCCAGTAGCTGTCTGTCCCGTAAATTCGCATGTTTCTTGAACTGAAATCAACCCAAATGAGTTTATTTTATGAACTTATTTTTTTAGGTAAATCCGCATGTTTCTTGAACTGAATTTTCCCAGTTATTCGTGTATTTCCCCATCTGATTGTCCCGTAAATAAGTTTATTAAATTACCTCTTTATTCCCTCATCATTCTTGTGTCGGAATTTTCTAGATTGAAAAGATTACTGCCCGAGAAGGGGGGTGTGGTATCATCGTCTGAACTTTGAGAATCCCTGGTCCTGGACGTAAACACTTTCACTCAGAAAGTGGAGAGGCGTTGGGAAAAAAAGAAAAAAACCTACCCACAAACTGGAAACAGAGCAGTAATAATTGGGAGACGGTGGTCATCAAACCTCAATGGATTATTCAAAGTGTAGCGATGGGCAAACGGGGTAAGAGGGTTGTTTAGTAGGGGAAAGTCTGTGGTGACATCTGGTGATCTTGGGAGGTTGTGGTGGGGGAGGGGGGTAGTAAATCGTGATGGGGAGGGAGCGGCAAGGTCAATAGTGCGTATTAAGATTACCCATTTTTGTTTCAAGAGTCTCGGACTACAATGTTTTTTTTTTTACCCAGCCAGACTTCCGCTGTTCAGACTCCCACTGGCTCATTTGAAGTCACCCATTCTGTCTTCGTCTTGTGTTCGGATACAAGTAAATATGATGAACACAATTTCTTTTTCTTAATTTTTTTTTTTTTTTTTTTTTTTTAGTTTTTAAGGCGGGGGCGTTTGTTTTTTTTTGATTTTTTTTTCGCAATTTTTTTCCTTATACACAAAATTTAAAG